TGTATTCAATCTAGAGAGCAATTTGGGGAGAATTGACATCTGAATAATGAAGGGTCCTCTGACCCATGAACACAGTGTATCTCTCCATTTATTTATGTCTTCTCTTATTTCTCTCACAATGATTTATGGATCTTAGTGAACAGATCTTAAACATCTTTTGCCATGCTTATCCCTAAGTATGTCATATTTTTGATGCAAATTAAAAATGGTTTTGATTCTCAGTTTCCAATTGCTCCTTGGTAGTATCTAGAGATACGATTCAATTATGTGCATTTCTCTTGTGCCCTTGCAACCTTGCCAAACTCATTTATTTGTTCTAATAACTACAAACTAACAGTTTAGTTTCTGTAGGTTTTCACCAGATTTTCTATATAGACAATTAGGTTGTCTGTGAAAGCACTTTTACTTCTTACTTTTTTAAAAAAAATTTTAATGTTTATTTATTTTTGGGAGAGAGAGACAGAGTGCAAGCAGGCGAGGGACAGAGAGGGAAGGAGACACAGAACCGGAACCAGGCTCCAGGCTCTGAGCTGTCAGCACAGAGCCTGACGTGGGGCTCAAACTCACAAACCATGAGATCATGACCTGAGCCTAAGTTGGACGCTTAACCAGCTGAGCCACCCAGGTGCTCCTTACTTCTTCCTTTCCAATCTGAGCAACTTTTTTCTTGCATTGCTATAGCAGCTAGGACTCCAGTATAATATTTCGTACAAGTGGTAAGAATAAACATCATTGTCTTGATCATGGTCTGAGGGGAAGAACTTTCAGTATGGTATTAGCTTTTAGTTTTTTATAGATACCCTTTACCAGGTTGGATAAGTTGGTTTTATCCCTAATTTGTTGACATTTTTAATTGGGAATGGATGTTGAATTTTTACAAATGCTTTTTCTATATCCATTGAGATGGTCCTATTCTTTTCTCTACTTTACTAATATGGTGAATTACAGTTTGCCTTTTTATATGTTGTTAAGTTTGATTTGCTAAATTCTTGCTGAGAATTTTTGCATCTGTGTTTCTGGGGGATCTTAATCTGTAATGGCCTTTTCTTGTAATATCTTTGACTGGTTATATGTAAAGATAGAGCTGGCCTCGTGAAATGCATTGGAAAATAAACCCTCTTTCTTAATTTTCAAGAAAACTGTGGGTAGTATTAGTATTATTTCTTTAAATATTTGACAGAATTCACAAATAAAGCCATCTAAGCCTAGAGTTTTCTTTGTGGGAAGATATTTAGCTACAAGTTCCATTTCTGTGCAAAGTATAGGGCTATGTCTCTATTTCTCCTGAGTGAGCATCAGTAGTTTATATCTTTCTGGTCCATTTCAGCTAAGCTGTCTAATTGCTAGCAAATGTTGTTCTTAACATCACCTTATCCTTCTAATATCTTAAGAATCTCCAGTGATGTCACCTCTCTCATTCCTGATATTGGTAATCTCTTTTTTTCCCCTGATTAGTCTGACTAAAAGCTTATCAATTGTATTGATCTTAAAAAAACAGCTTTTGGTTTCAATGATTTTTCTCTATGATTTTTCTATTTATTTGTAGCCACTCTGATCTTTATTTTTTCTTTGTTTTACTTTGGGTTTAACTTGCCCTTCTCTATGTGCTTCCTTAAGGTAGAGACCTAAGAGGCCTTTTTTCCAAATGTCAGCACTGAGTGCTATAACTTAGCCCTCAAGTACTTCTTGAAAGGCATTTTTCAAATTTTTAAATGTCGTGTTTTTGTTTTTATAAAATACAAAATACTTTTTAATTTTTTTATTTCTTTTTTGATCTATGGATTATTTAGAAGTATATTCATGGGATTTTCACATATTTGGGGATTTTCCAGAAATCTTTCTGTTATTGATTTCTAACTTGATTCCTTTGTGGTCAGAGAACATTGTGTTGTATTTTTTTTTCTAATATTTATTTATTTTTGAGAGAGAGAGAGAGAGAGCATGAGCAGGGGAGGGGCAGGAAGAGATGGAGACAGAATCCGAAACAGGCTCCAGGCTCCGAGCTGTCAGCAACAGAACCCGACGCGGGGCAAGAACTCAGGAACCGCAAGATCATGACCTGAGCCGAAGTCAGACACCCGAGCCACCCAGGCGCCCCCTTAATGTTGTATTTAAATTCTTTACCATTTATCGAGACCTGTGTATAGCCATCATAGTGTCACGTGCATTTAAAAAGAATGCATGTTCTTCATTTTTGGGGGGGGCAATTAGGTCAAGTTAGTTGATGGTGGTCTTTCAAGCCATCTATATCCTTACTGACAATTGTTCTGTCAATTTATAAAATCAGCCACAGGGGTTACTTACATCATATCAGTTGGCAAACACTACAAATTTGGTGGCCTTATTTTTTCCTGAGAGCCTATGGTTAAGCATTTGCCACCGCACAGACCTGGTGCCCTGTGTTTTGACAAGCTCTAAGGTGATTCTCATGTCCTCTGCTCGAGGCTCAGACCCGCCCTGAGTGTCTCCCCTGGATGCTTCACAGTGACTCCTTACATAACTTACTGCTGTCGTGAGCAATGGGAAAGCAGACTGCCTCCGCTCCCCCTGCCCCGACACCCACCCAGTGCTGGAGCAGAGAAACGTGCTGGGATCTAAGCCGGGCTCTCCACTCATGGAGGCAGGAGGGATCTGGGTGGCCCCAAAACAATTCTGAAGATCCCTTGCAGTGGGAACCTCACTGGGATTCACAGACTGAGAGGAGAACAGTGGGTCCCAAAGTCACAGCCTGGCTCTCTACAACAGCTTCTTGCCCGCAAAGTCAGACAGCAGCTGCTATCACAAATGAGAGGCGATGTGCTCCGCATCAGACACGGCTGGGTGCACCTCCCAGCCTGCCCTTGCCAGCAGTGGGACCAGGAGCTGGTCGCTCTCTCCCTCTCCACCCTCCATCTGCTCGTCCAGGAAGATGGCAATAATAGTATCGGCCCCGTGAGGTCTCCAGAAAGATTAGATCCAACTACTTAAACAAAGAGCCGGGAATATAGAACCAGCCCCATAAACAGTAGCTATGACTGCTTTTCTATTTAGCTGGAATAAAAAGTAATGTCAGGGGAGCCTGGGGTGGCTCAGTCGGTTAAGCTTCCGACTTCGGCTCAGGTCATGATCTTGCAGTTTGTGGGTTTGAGCCCCACGTCGGGCTCTGTGCTGACAGCTCAGAGCCTGGACCCTACTTCTGATTCTGTGTCTCCCTGTCTCTCTGCCTCTCTCTTGCTTTGTGCTCTGTCTCTTGAAAAAAATTTTTTTTATTTTTTAAAAAAAAAGTAATGTCAGTGTCAACAATGTTATTCCCATTTTATGGATGATTGCTCTTGAGGAACAGAGGAATAGAGCAAGTGCCTAGTTACTGAAACAGCAAGCACCAGAGATCATTGCATCAGCCAGTGATGGATCTTGTCCACACCATCTGATGAACACGCCTCCCCACGCTGGGGCTGCACTCCTAATAGATTCCCAGTAGCTCCAGATTCCCTAGCAAGAAAGCAACCGATGATTCAGTTACAACAATTGCCAGCTGGTTCTCTGGTTTATTGCTGTAATTTCTCTAAAGCAACAACATTGTCCTGCCTTTGTGTGGCTTCTATGAGAAAAGGTATGTCCGTGTGTCCCTTGCAGCATAAGACACCAGCGGCCATGTAGAGAATCCAGCTACCCTGTTAGACCCAGGAATTGCCTGGAAAAGATGGCGTGCGGAGAAGAACACTCTGTGAACACGCACAGGAGTTGGGGGCTGCAGGTGACATAACCATGCCCCTCACCTGGGCAAACATAGATGCAAACGTGCTTTAATATGTGCCAGACACTGCTGTAAGGCCTTCCCAGGACCATTCGTTCAATATTCACAGCAGCCCCACAAAGTATCATTATCATTCCTATTTCACAAATAAGATAATTGTGAGATTGCACAGAGAGGTTAAGCAATGTGTCTGAGGTCACACAGCCACCCAGTAACTGAGCCAGGATTTAAGTCCCAGATATATGCTATAGAAATGGATTTTAAGATAGGTTTTGCATGGAGAGAGCCAAAAATATATAGCCAGAGCTACATGCAATCTTAAATGAGGAAATCTGAACATGAACAAAATGAGAAAAGCCACAGCAGAGATCAGTCACTAACAGAGAAAGGGAAAAAAGGAGGCCCTGCCTAGCGCTGTGGGTGGGAAAAGGGCTAGAGGAAAGGTGGTTGTGACAGCGCCCATCTCAAGCAGGAACTCCTGAACGGGAATCTGGTGTCTCAATGCCCCCCGAGAAGTGGGAGTTACGGTGCCATTATCCCAATGGGGAAACGGAGGTTCAGAGAAGTTAAGTGGTCTGCCTGAGGTCACACAGCCCAGAAGTGCAGGGTTGAGACTCAAACCCAGTGTGCCTGTCCCGGCACCCTATGGTCTTTTAGCCTACCAGATTTCAGCATTGGAGAGTACGGTAACGTACATACATAGATACCCCAGGCACATGGTGAGATCTGTGCCGGGTACCTCCCGTGTGCTAGTTGACTGCCACTAAACAAGAAATGAAATCCCAGCCCCCAGGCAGGGATAGAACCGGACTCACAGAGCTGTTGATCTCCCGTGTCACCTCAGGGCCAGTCACACGCAAGAAGCCAGCCCCAGTGTGCCAGCCTTCCTCTCCCTGACCCTCCAGAGCCTAAATCTCATGCCCCAGGAAGGCTGCATTAGAACGGGGTAGGGTGAGGGGGCGGAAGTGGGTAACGATGGGGGCCTTCCTCCCTGCTTCAGAGGTGCGTTTCCATGCCTTAACCGGGGATTAACACCTCCAGGCTCTGCTTGTGGACAGAGGTCTTCCGACTGCGTGTGTAAACCACAATGTCCGCCCCAGGCCACCCGGGGTTCCCACACACACATGCCTCTGCGGGCACCCAGTCGGCCCCGCCAGCACCCGGAAGGTTGGGCCCCTGACCCCAAGCCCCACCCTCTCTCTCCAGGAACCCTTTCCCCAGCCATCTCATGCCTCCCCTGTTTGTGTTTGTCTCTTCATTTTAGGGATTTATTTCTCTGCAAGGCACCCGGGTGACGGAACTCCTTCCTGGCCCCGAGGACGCAGGGAAGCACCTCTTTGAGATCAGCCCAGGTAGGCCTGAGCACCTGTCAGCTCTGTGCTGGAGCTGGCCCTGGTGGCCCTGCTGGGGCGCCTCTGGACTGGAAGGACAGACCTCCTTCAGGGTGCTCCTCCCTCTAAGAACAACAGCGCTGTCTCCAAGCGCTACTCAGAAATTTGGGCAAAATCTAGAGGATATTGCAAATCTGGGGGCATATTAGAAAATCCAATCAGTTGTCTGGGTAATTCACTTTTGGAAATTGGATTTTAAAATTCGCATAAGCACAAGGGAAACCAGGCAACGGGCATATCTTAGGACGAAGGTCCAAATACAACATCTGGATCATATGCAAATAAGTGCAGGGAAAACCCACTAGCACAGATACAGAGCCTTAAGATAAGGTTTATCATGAATCTCAAAACAGAGAATGGAGATGCGGTGGAATGAAGGGAAATATTTTAATCCAAGGAACTGCTATCGTGTTGGCAGTTACAGAACCATTAAAAGAAAAAAATTCCCAGTTTTCAAATGTGATTGTTATTGAACTAAGTAGATGTGTCTCGAAGCTGAGGCCACTCTGCTTCAGGAAGGGCTGATTCCACAGTCGGGTGCTTTTGGTAGCCTGGCTTCCCCCAGAGACAGAGCCTGAGACCCGGCTCCTAGCAGTTTTATTAAGAGGTGATTCCCAAAAAGCAGGGGGAAGGGAAAAGGGAGGGAGGAAAGCCACTCCGGGCGTGCTAGTGAGCAGATTGCCGCTGTGGGAACCCAGGGTTCAATTCCGGGGACAGCTGTGGGGACCATGGGGAGCAGGCCTCGGAGGTGCCCCGCCCATGGGATGAGCAGACTGGGGGCTACCCTACCCCCTTAGCTCCACTGGCTGCTTCCCGGGGCTAATTCTGGCATCTCTGGCCTGCCCTGTGCATGGCCAAGCTCCCTGCAGATAGAAGGCCTCTGGAAGCATTGCAGGCACTTGAACCAAGAGGCCACCCGCATGGATGGGAACAGTGAGAGCCGAGGCCCTGGGCAGGACATTAGTGACAGCCATCTCGCCATCACGTGCCTCCAGTGTGCCGTCCAAATTTAGACTTCCTTCTGGGAAGTGGTGGCTGTGACCCCAATGTACTCGGGTCTCACTGGGCTCTGCGAACCGACAGGCTTCCAGTGTCCAAGCAGCCCGGCCACCCCGCCAGTCTGATGAGGTGACCTGACTGTCTGCTGTGCCCCGAAAGCCAGCCCAGGCTCAGGCCAGCCAGCAGCGGCCCGTGGGGAGCAGCAGTGAGTGCCGCCAGGCCTGGGGCAGGGACCCGTTCACCTTTGCTGTGTCTTTACTGGCAATTCCAGGAGACACAGGCAGAAGGCAGGAAGCCCCTCCCCAGGTTCATGCCCTGGATGCAAAGTGCACATGCCCCTGGTTTCCTTTGGGTTTTCCCACGTGGGTATTTAATCTACTGCAAAAACCTTGGTACTAAAACTGCACGTTAGAAGGTGGCGGCAGAGGGTTCCAGGGTGTGGTGTGGAAAAGAGAGGCTTGGCTTACGATGGAACAGGGGTAAAGGCTTCTGCAAAGAAGATAGGAGAGAAATGAAGAGGGCAGGGAGGAAGGGACTGGGGGAGGGGCCAGGGGCCTGCGCCTGGGAATTAGGGAGCAGTAAGGGGAGGCTGGAACTGAAAGGGGGAGGGCGGCACGCCCCAGCCACGGACTCACAAAGGCCCTGAGCGTTTGCCCCAAGGACAAGATGGGAAAACATCACCAGTGTGCAGGCTCTTTATCCGGGTCAGAGTTATTTACAAGGAATTTGTTCACTCTGGGGGGAAGAAGACCCATTTGCCATGTAAGGTAACATCCACAGATCCCGGGAATTAAGAAGTGGACATGTCTAGGGAGCCTGGGGGGCTCAGTCGGTTAAGTGACCAGCTTCGGTTCAGGTCATAATCTCGCAGTTTGTGGGTATGAGTCCCGTCCCATGTCGGGTTCCTGCTGACAACTCAGAGCCGGGAGCCTGTTTTGGACTCTGTGTGTGTGTGTCTCTCTCTCTACTTGTGCTCTGTCTCTCTCACTCTCTCTCAAAAATAAACATTAAAGGGGCACCTAGGTGACTCAGTCGGTTGGGCGTCCGACTTCGACTCAGGTCATGATCTCACGGTTCGTGGGTTCAAGCCCCGCATCGGGCTCTGTGCTGACAGCTAGCTCAAGCCTGGAGCCTGTTTCAGATTCTGTGCCTCCCTCTCTCTCTGATCCTCCCCTGCTCATGCTGTCTCTATCTCTCTCTCAAAAGTAAATAAAATATTAAAAAAAAACATTAAAAAAATTAAAAGAAAAAAAAGATGTGGACATGTCTGTGGGACCATTATTCTGCCCGCTACAATGCTCAAAACATCCCTCCAAGGGAGTACTTGTTTTTTTTTGAGAGAGAGAGAGTGCATGCACATGCACACTCATGTGGGGAAGAGGAAGGGGCAGAGAGAGCTAGAAAGAGAGAATCTCAAGCAGGCTCCACTGTGTCAGTGCAGAGCCCTATGCAGAGCTTGATCTCACGACCGTGAGATCATGACCTGCCGACTGAGCCACCTGGGCACACCTGGGCATACTTTATTTTATTTTAAATAAAGTTTTTAAATTTTAAATAAAATTTGATTTAAAAAAAACACTGGGGCTTAGAGAGGAGATGCCACCCACGATGCACAGCTAGATGGTAGTGGGAGTCAGGGCTGGCACCCAGGCACAAAGCTGCTACCCAGCACGGGCACTTGGTACAGGAAGGACCTAGTGTATTTCCACCTGGGCCCTATCACTGCCCCCTTGTCTTTGCACATGCAGCCCTCCTGAAGGCTGTGGAGCAGGCCGGGGGTGAGGGTGAAGGCAGATGTGAGGCCGCTCAGGGAAAGCGGGTCAGTAATGGGCAGTGAGGGGTCCAGTCAGCCTTCGTGGGGCGCTGAGCAGGAAGGGCTCAGCCATCTCCATTGGGCAAATCATTTTGGCTGTAAAAGGCCAGGTGGGCTCGTGTCCGCCACACCCGATATCCCAGAGAAGGAACGCTTGAAAACTCTTGGAAATGTGGTAGGACTCAGGTATAATCATGCATAAGATCAACTACATGAATTTTAAGTTGTTCTTCAACAGTATGAAAAGTCTCAACTTTTCATCAGGTTAGGATTAAAAGAAAATAGGAGAGGGAAAATTATACTGTGAGTGCCCTCTAGTGGAGAAACCTGCCAATTACATGACAGGCCTTACAGGCCCTCCTACCTACCCAGCCCCATCCCTGTGCATTTCAGCCAGCCCTCCCCACTGATTGTTGGTGTGCTCCCACGGTCACTAAGTGCTGGGACTGCAGCTTGAGCCACCTCTAAACCAGGGTCTAAACCAGAGTCCCGCTCTGCACCAACACTCCTGGCTCCTGGGTCAGGAGGAAGGAGTCAAGCCCCAGAAAGGGGCTGGGATTCAAGGAACCTGCCTGGGTCTCCTTCCCACTTGGCCTTTTCTACCCAGACAGTTAGTTGCCTGGCCTGACGCTGTGATTTGGATTAAGATAGATAAGTAGCTAGACTAGACAGATGGATAGATATTTATATACCTGATGCTTTCCCTGGTTCCTGGCAGGAGCTCCTAAAACCCTTGGCATTTCCTAAGTGAAGAGAGTGCCCTTTGTTATGTTAATGAGGTGCCTTTTGGAAAGCCCCTGGGTCGACTCAGGTTAGAGTCTGGTTGTCAGGGGAACCAGCCAAGTGTTTAGAAGATTGGAGTTTTCAGGTCCACCTCCGAGTGGGGAGAGGGGCTAAATATTAAGTTCAATTACCAATGGCCAGTGATGTGATCAATCATACCCACGCAACGAAGCCTCCGTAACAAACCAAAAGGAGAGGGTTCGGACACCTTCCAGGTTGGTGAACACGTGGAGACGTGGGGAGAATGACGTGCTCGGGGAGGGCCCGGGAGCTCCACAGCCCTTTGCACATACCTCACCCTACGCCGCAGTTCCACGTGGCTGTTCCTAAGTATATCTCTGTACAATAAACCAGTGATCTCGAAACGAAACAATTTCTCTGAGTTTGGTAAGCCGCTCTAGCAAATTCACCAAAGCCAAGGAGTGGGTGGTTTGGGAATCTGAGACCCACGGCCCATGGGTGAGAAGCACGATGACAGCGTGGCCTTGAGTTGGCACCTGTGTGTGGGGTGAGGTAGGCCGTTTTGTAGGACTGAACCCCTACCCCGTGGGTCTGACGTTTTCTCCAGGTAGATAGTGTGAATACAGAGTTAAGTTGCAGGATGCCCAGCTGGTGTCGGAGAATCGCTTGGTGACGTGGGACAAAACCCACATGCGCTGGAATTGGTGACTGGAATTCTACCTGCAAACCCCACCGACCCCCAGCCCTTTGAAAGCTGTCTGCCCCTTGGGGACTTGATCCCGCTGGGCTTGCTAACCCTAACCCTAACCCTCTGCCCCCAGGCCATGTTTAGGCCTCCCTCCAGATACGCAGGAATGGAATGGGGCAAGGAGTGGAGAGGCCTGCTTTGGCACTGAGGACAAAACAGCTGCTAAATCCATCGGATGCTTATGTCTGATGGAATGAGTTGAGTAACCAATAAAGCAGCACGACGTGGCTCAAATATTCTTCTTCGGGTATTAGCACAGTATTGCCAAGCGGAGGCACGTCAGGTGCCTACAGAGAGTTAGCCCGGAGCCCTAAGTCTTTCTGGCGACTAACTGCAAGACTGTAATGTCTCCTCCATGGCTGGGTGCATCTTTCAAGAGTCCCAATTGCAGGTGAAGCCAGCTCAGGCTAACTCAGGCAAGGGGAGAACTGGTCAGAGGTTGCGGAATCTTCTGGAAGCTGGAGAGCTCCCTGTGGAAGGGGCAGGCAGCAGGGCTGCTCAGTGGTCCTGGAGGCAGAAACAGAGGGGGGGTCAGGAACGTGTGCTGGAAAGATTGCATCTCAGTTGGCCTCTCAGTCCTGGGGTCGCTTGTTCAAGTCCGGAGTCTCAGTGTTAGTGTTGAGGCCACGGGCCTGCGCCCAGCGACACTCACGTGGC